AGCTTGAGTTGTTGATGACCTTTGATAATGGATTTTTATTAAGGCTTGTTATCCACTTGTATGGCTGTTTACTTTGGGAATTTGAGAAGCGACCATGTCCCAGGTTGAGGATGAAGTTCAGCACAGAGCTCTGGAACAGCCAAAGAAGGCAGTGTGACCTGGTCCAGAGTGACAGGGAGCCACTGGGAGAGGCAGCCAGAAAATTCAGCTCTTCTCTGCAATCCTCAGGAGGGACTGCTGTCCTGTAACCATGCAGGTTGGGGACTCGAGTGATTTTATTTAAAATGAAATGAGAGTGGTAGCCCAAAACTAGAAACCTTGGGGACATTTGGCTGAATTAATGAGGCTGAAATTTTTCATATGTTTGTTTTCTGACTGAATTCTGTTTAGAACTGTTCATCCTCATTGCCAATGTATCAGTTGGGATCTTAGTGCTTTTCTATTTTATTCTACTAATTCTTTATCTATATAGATATATAGATATAAAGAAAATTTTATCTGTGATGTCTGCTGCCAGTTTATTCCCCAATTTCATATTTCCACATTTGCCATTTTCAGTTGTTTCATTAGTTAGTTTGCCCATCTGCTTGTTTCTTTTAACATAGAGCTGTTTTCAGTTTTTATGTAGTTAAATTTTGTCTCTTTTCTGGTTTTATTTAATCCTAGAAAGCCCAGGACAATCTAGATCGAACATGATGAGCAACTCGGCTGCAGTTCCACATTTGGACGTGTTAGATAACAAGGATAATAATAATAATGACATAATAGTAATAATGGCTAACACGTATTGAAGCTTTGCTTTGTGCCAGGCATTGTTCTACAGACATTACATATATCAACTCATTAAATCCTCCTCATTTTACATCCAGGATAACAAAGCAGAGAGGAAGTACATAACCACCCAAGGTCACTAGAAAGAGGTGGAACAGGCACAGTTCAGGCTGAAGTGCTCTGTCCTGGGATGCTCCTTCTACCCACTGTGTCTGCCACTTCTAGACCAGACCCTGAGCTAAGTCCACTGTACCACTGATTTCTTACAACCATATGAGAGAGGTATGATTTTTATGCCCATTTACAGATGAGGAAAAGGATGCTGGGAGAGGAGAAGAAACCCATCCAAGGGCACAGAAGTACAGAGAAATTGAGCCAGGATTTAGTCCCGGAATGCCTGTGTGCAGAGCCCAGCTTTACAACCTTTATTCTCTATTGTCCCATGTCTGATGGAGACCGAGTTTTGATCTCCTAAGCCCCATTTTCTTATTTGTTGGTTGTAAATTTTTCAACACAGAAAAATATAAAAACAAAAGCAAACACCAACCCCAGGCAAGCAGTGATAATGTTTTTGTGTATTTCACCTAGACTTTTTCTATGCATTTATTTAACATGGTTGAACCATACTGGATCAATTTTGCATCCCATGCTTTTCATTTATATCGTAATATAAGCATTCTTCTATGTTAATAAAAGACTTCTTATACATTTTTAAGTTGTGGTAAAAAACACACAATATAAGGTTTACTACTGTAACCTTATCTGTTATTTTAAATGGTTGTAAAATATGTCATTTAACGAGTACAACACATTCCTCCATTGTTGGAAAGCTGGAGTGTTTTAAATTTTTCACTGTTACCAATGACCCCGCATTTAACATACTCGTGAATAAATATTTGTCCACATTTCAACTTATTTCCTTAGGATAGATTCCTAGAAGTAGAATTACCAGGTCAAAGAGCATGAATATTTTAAAGCTCTCAATATATATCGCCGAATTACCATGCCCTCCTGTTATCACCATATAAAATGCCCATTCCCCTGCAGTATCGCTAATACAACAGGCTGATAAAATGGAATTCTGTTGGTCTCAATTTTCATGAAGTTCTGTCGAGTGAGGTGTGAGCCTAGACAACTGGTTTTTGACCTACTGCTGATCACCCATCCACCTCTAGCCAAAAAAGGGGTTGGAGAGGCTGAGAGGAGTTGTGAATTAGAAGAGGATTTTGGAGAGAGGTTTTGGTGTAATGAGTTCCATTCACCCTCAAGAAGGATGGGTGGGGGTGTACTCCCTCTTACCTCAATCCTAGGAAAAGGGGCTCCAACAGAACCACGTGGAAAGCTTGCTAAGTGAACTCTGTAGTTTGGGGGACATATTGGACCAATCTTTAATTCATACCTGGAAATCTAAGAGTCTCGGCTAGCTACTGTAAGGATGCATTTTACAAATAATGACAACTAGGGTTAGAAAGTTTAAGTAATTTGTCCCAGGTCATTTGCAAATAAGTGGTGAATCTAGACTTGAAACCCAAATCTGATTCAGAGCTTGCATATTTACACATTCTGTAATACTTTCTTTCATTTATCTGTGAAATCTTTCTTATTTTTCTTACTATATATTTATCCATATTTTGACCTGAATTCTTCATTTCATAACTTGGAATTTTTTGGCAGGAGACTCCACCAATATTAATTCAACCTCTCTAGCAGCCTCCTTAAAACTACTCATGAAATCAGCTATTTATGAATAGGATTATTCTATTTTCTCAAAATCTTGAGTTTGTTAGATAAACTCTAAGTGACTTTATGCCTCCCTTCAGGGATTTTTGTTAGATTTACAGGGTGTTATGGGTTGAACTGTATCCCCCAAAATGCATATGTTGAAGCCCTGAACCCCAGTACCTCAGAATGTGACCTCTTTTGGAAATAGGGTTGTTGTAGATATAATTAGTTAAGATGAGATCATTAGAGTGTGCCTTAATCTAATAAAACTGGTCTGGTATTCTTATACAAAAAGGTGGGGGCGGAAACTAGATACAGAGATAGAAAGACACAGAGGAAAGACAACGTGAAGAGACACAGGGAGAAGACGGCCATCTATACATCAAGGAGAAAAGGCCTGGAACAGATCCTTCCCTCTCTCCTCTCAAAAGGAATCAACCCTGCCAGTACCTCAATTTGAACTTCTAGTCTCCAGAATTATGAGACAATAAATTTCAGTTGTTTAGGCTGCCCAGTCTGTGGTTCTTTGTGACAGTGGCCCTTGAAAACTAATACATGGCTGCTTGCTGAGCAGCTGAAACTTGATTCTGAAATCTTGAAATTCAATACAGGAACTGCAGTCCTCCAAAAGAAAATGGGAAAATCCAGTTCTGACAACTGTTGCAACTCCACTACAGAACAAGAGTTCTTGTATTTTTGTAGCATACATTTTATGGTTTGAATTTGCTTTTTACTATTATACTTCACAGAGGTTTAGATGATGGCTTTCATATATCCCCGAGTTCTATCTCCATATGTAGACTTTCAAAATCTTTGACAACATGGTCTTCATGTAAGTTTCCACACTTGTATCCAACTGTTGTTTTTCAAAAACATCTTGTCCAGTCAAATTGGGACATGAGTCCCAAAACGGGCCTGTTTATTCCTTCAAGACCCAATGGGAAAAAAAATCATTTCTAAGACTTTTTGTTAGTCTAAATAATCTTTGAACTCCATTATATATTTTTATTTCATTGATTTTTATTTTAGTTATTTGGACACACGTAATGTCCACTGATTGACCATTAAGTTCTATAGGGCGAGACTTTTGTGGCTGGCAAGTAAAGTTCAATAATGCTGGGCTCTGCTTGAGGAATGGGTATAGACTATGTCTCATTTTTTTACCCAAGAATAGAAGAGAGGAGTATTTATCTAACAGCTCCCATCCCATAGTGGTCACGGATTGCCTCAGAGGGTATTCCTGGCACTACTAGGTTTGTGCGTGTATAGGAATGGTTGGACAGGCTTCTACAAGCATCCCATGCAGTGGTATTGGTGAAGTCATGGGGCATAAAGTGAAAGATACACAGGGAAGTTATGCCAAGGTGCTGTCGGGCTACACCTGCCAATAGCTGGCTGCCAGAGTAAAAAGTAGACTGAGAGGATGTTTAATAACTATGAAAAATATCTGTTATAGCTCATTTCTTGCACTGCCCCAATCTGCTTATGCCCTATTTTAATAGTTCCCCCAAGAGAAGGATGTTATGTATAGAAACACTACATATCAACTCTATTCTTCTTTCTGATCAAAAGAGCAAAGGCTCTTGCGCATGTCAGTTCATGCAACTAGAAACTCAGCAAGATCTCCAGCCACAGAAAACCGCACTCAGAAGTTCCATCGGTGCTGAGCTGGAACACACTCTTGGTTTGGGTTCCTACAGAAGCAGACTCTGAGACAAGTATTCAACTGCAAGTGGTTTATTTCAGAAGTGATCCCAGGAAACACCCATAGAGGAAAGAGTAGATGAGAAAAAAATAAGAAGGAAGCCAATGGAGAATACTTTACCAAGCCATTTCTACTATGGACAGCCAGAATTTTACCCTGCTGGTATCTCAGGGAGAGTGTAAACTACATCCGAGATTTATCTAAAAGAAAAATGGATGAGGAAATTGGGGTATTTATCCACCAATTCTCTTTCCAATAGTGGTTGAGGGCTGCTTCCCGGGATAGCTCTCCAGCACTTCTGATTGCCCTTTGTGCGGGCCTCGTGGCCAGGATAAACCCCTTCAGATATAGAGCCTACATCAACAGCAATGATCAGCCTTCAACATGCAGAGGTGAAGTGTGTGTGTGGAAACGGTAGGTCACCAACAGCTAAAGAAATCTGTTGCAGAAACCCAGCTACAGGCATAAAAGTCACGGACTTTTCTAATATTGACCCCAGCACGCAGGAACACACATCACTGAAGAGAAAGAGCTGCTTCTCTTGATTTCATGATAAATTCGATGCATTCAGTGATAGCAAGAAACAGCTGAATCCCTCATACATTAGAAATTACTCTTTAAATCAAAATTGTTATTCCATTAATTTTTATTACCACATATAAGTGATGAACTGGGGTCTGAAAGTACACATCTTTATATCCTCATAAACTCGAAATCATGTTTAGAATCATGCTGATGCAAAACAAGGTCATTGTTGGAACTTCCAAAAGCAGCAACATTGACAAGAGGAATATTTTTAGCTCTATGTGTGAGCTACTTCTTTTGCTTGTTCCTTCAACTTAATGTTAATGGCGGCTCTTAGGCTGGCCCAACAAAGTCCATGTTTGCTCTTCTCTTTGAGCCATTCTAAATAAGTACTCTGTGCCATGAGACTTTTGAGCTTGTGATACTTGCTAGGAATGGATTACTGTGGAATGGGTTCCAGCAAGATCAGGATTAGGTTATGAAAAGCTTCTTGAAAGAGATTATGGTGGGCAAAGTAGAGTTCGTAATGGCACCACTCACTCTGGACAAAGTTGGGAGACAAAACAAAGATGGACTTGTAACTCTTCTCAATGCAGTTTATGATATTTTCCACAATGCTCTTGCCAGGAACAAAGTTTCTCTCATGAAGACAAATCCGAATATTTTCTTTTTCTAGGCAAGGTACCAGTTCATTCTTCACCCAGGTAGAATCATGTTCACTGTACGAAATAAAAGCATGGAACTGGAGAGTTCTTTGGAGTTCCTCTAAGGGTATGTTCCTAGCCCTGCGCCGGGTCTGGGTCCACTGACACACCATCCTGAGATACCAGGGCAGATCCAAGTACACGCAGAGGAAGGTCACAGTGACAGCCAGCACCAGCACAGCCGCCCCAATGGTGACCATCAGCAGAGCTGTGTTGCAGGATAATTGAGACACGTGAAAGTCCTTGAGCAGTGTTCCCTTATAGCTTTCTGGGTAGTGACACTTATAAGAATCAGGCCAGCCTTCTACCACTTCACTTGATGCTTGGCCTATATTTTTAACAAATTCTCTTAGCTCACATGTACATTGGAATGGATTGTTGCCTGCTTTTATCAACCTAATCTTGTGGCAGCTCTGGAAGAAATCAGCTGATGGGTGAGAAACTGAATTATGGTGAATGATCAGTACAGAAAGGCTGCGAAAAGCACCACATCCTGGAAGGTCAGTTAAAGAATTGAAAGCAACATTGAGTTCTCGCAAAGCTTCTAGTTTCATGACTTCTTTAGGAATGCTCCTTATTCGATTATTGTGAAGATCAAGTACCTTGACCCTAGGAGGTAAACATCTGAAAACAGAGTCAGTAAGTATATTTGAAGACATATTTAAACTTAATAAGCTTCTGGTCCAAGAGCAATCTTCTTTATTTTCATCATAACTTGGAGAATTCTGGCTAATATCCAATTCTTGTAGAGACTTCATCTCCTTGGTCATATGAACTATATTTTCAAGTTCTTTTAATTTATTCATTTGTAAAGAAAGTGTCTCCAACCTAGTCAGGCTTCCACAATTTTCAAAAACCAAGTCTGTTAAGAGATTATTGGAAAATCCAAATACAGAAATGGGCTAATTCGCGATGGGCAAAGCATGTGGACCATGTGTGTACCAGACACTGTTAAATTTTGGATGTTCATATTTGAAAAGATTCTATAGATGGAACTTTGTGGAAAAGTGAACACATCGCTGACAACTTGGTGTATAGACAAGGCCTTCAGGGAGGTGTCAGAATAATTAAAATCTCTGAAGTCAAGTTGACCCTGTAGTTTCACATTTGAAATTGAGAAAATACTAAATGGTTGTATACCAAGCCAACTGGAGGATCCTAATGAAAGAATTGTAAGTTGTTTCAACATTGTTTAAAGTAAGATTTGATAACCTGGGGTTTGTCTGAAGTTTTGACAGAACATCTAGGAAATAAGAACATTCATTATCACTTTGTACACATTTGATATTAGACAGTTCCAGACTTACTGCAGTGCTGGCTGACACATCCAAAATAAAATGGAATTTTTTGTTTGTGGGGAAAACAATTTTCAGACTTTGTGTTAAACTATTGAAGGCTCTCAGGGCCCTCTTGTTCCCCATAAGTGTCTCCTAAGACCAGGAAAACCTTGCTGATATTCAAATGAGCAATTGGCGACACACTAGATTTTTGTAACTGTGTAGCACTCAACCCCAGAAATTTTAGTTGAGACATGTTACCAAATTCTTTGCATATGCACATGGCATCAAACGCATTAAATGAAAGGTCTAAGTGCTTGAGGCTCACAGTAGGATGGCAAGAAATCTTCCCCAACTTGTCGTGAGACAAATCCAAGTATTCCAATTCCAGGTTGAATTTGAAAACAGATATCAAGATGCTGGAATCTATTATAAGAAATTATTAAAATCCTCAGCTTTGACAGTGATAGGATATCAGAAGTCTGAAGCTCAGATATATAATTTTGTGATATATCAAAGACTGTTATTTCCGGGGATAGGTCTTTGGGAACATGGATGAGACCTGTTTTTGACCTGTCAACTAAAAATTCACTTTCATCAGATAATTGGATTCTGCTCTCAAGTATTAACATGAAGATGATGGCAAAATGGAAGGTGCTAGTCATTTGTAACACTAGACATTCCTAAGGGTAGAAACTATTCTTCAGAGTATCTTGGTACAGATACAGATCCTAAAAACAAAACAAAACAAACAAACAAAAAAAACCCCCACACATTAAATGATTATATTAAATCAGGCATGGTTAACGTTAACAGTAAACATTTATTACTAGAGAACCATAAAATGAAGGCTACATTCTTTTGTGTTACACAGCCTAAAACCAGCGAAATATACATATTGATAAATAATTACACTAGCCCTAATCAAATAAGTTTTAATATGGATAGTGTAATAGGTTGAAGGGTGGACCCCCAAAATATACCTACCTCTTAACCATGTCCTAAATCCCAGAAACTGTGAATGTTAGCTTATTTGGGAAAAGGGTCTTTGCAGAGATAATAAAGTTAAGGATCTTGAGATGGGAAGATCATTCTGAATTATCCAGATGGTCCCTAAATCCAATGACAAGCGTCCTTATAAGAGAAAGGCAGAAGGATATTTGTCAAACACAAAAGAGGAGACAACAAAGGATGGCCATGTGAAGCCAGAGGCAGAGATTGGTGTGATGTACCCAAAAGGCAAGTTTGACACCTTGATTTTGGACTCTGACCTCCAGAACAGTGAGAGAATAAATTTCTGTTGTTTTAAACCCCCAAGTTTATGGTAATTTGTTACAGAAGCCATAGGAAACTAATACAGATGGTACATAGTCAGTCCTTTGGCCCCAAACCTCCCAAGATCATTTAAAACTCCAGCTACGATTCACCTGGTGTACTTTCACGCTTTGACATGCATCTCCCTGTGACTTCCTCAAGAGTTCTCCCATGTGGTGGAATTGGGACTGTTCTTGCATTATCTTTTATTGTCTGCTATGGGTCAATGTGTCTCCCAAAAGTTCGTATATTGGAAACTCAATCTCCATTGTAACTGTGTTAAGAGGGTAGGAAATCCAATTTGAATGGCAGGGCCTTTAAGAGGTGATTAGATTGTGAGGACTGTGCCCTTGTGGATGGATTGATCCATTCATGGAGTAATGGGCATGGTTCTGATGTCTTTAAAAGGAAAGCAAATGAAAAAGTTAGCCTCTTGCTCAATCCATTTGTACCATGTGACACCCCACTTGCCACTGAACCTTGTAGAGAGTTCTCACTAAGAAGGCCCTCACCAGATGCACCCCTCGGACTGTGGACTTCCCAGCTTCCAAACTGTAAGAAATCAATTTTGTTTTCCTATAAATTATTCAGTTTCAGGTGTTCTGCTGTAAGCAACAGAAATGGACTAATATATTGCCGAAACATGGTGTAGGCCTAACTTTGGTCTCATTCAATAGGTAATTCATGATAAAAGGTCTCACAGGAGATCCATTTATTCATCCATTTATTTATTCAACTGCTATTTATTGCTCACCTACTGGCCATGTTTTAGGAACTGGAGATAGAGGAGTGAACAAGATAATGTCCTAATTCTCAAGGAGCTTATTATATAGTAGGAAGATAGAAAATAAGCAAATGGCTGCATTTAATTTCATGTAGTAATAAGTGCAACATAGCGAAATAAAGCAGGATAAATCATAGGTATGGGATAGTGGATGGTGGTGACTACTTTGACTGATTAATTAGAAAAGGTCTGTTTGAGAAGATGACTCTGGGATAGAAATCAGAAAGGAGTGAATGAAGAACGTATGGGAAGATCTGGGGGAAGAACATTTCTAGAAAAGGAAAAGGAAAAGATCCTGACATGGAATTGAGGTTGGTTTGTCTGAGGAAAAGTGAGGTCATATTAGGAAGCAGTGAGCAAAGGTAAGATGAATTAGGGCCAAGATCACACAGGGCCTTGCAGATCATTGCAAGGAGCTTGGGTTCTATCCCAAGAGTGATTAGGGGATGATGAGCACTGGGAGGTTTTGAGGATGGGAGTTGTTTCCTCCTCTATCTTATTCAGAAAACATTTTTCATTCATTCATCAAACATGTATGTATTCCCCGGGAAGTGCTAGACATTGTTCTAGGTTATGCCTATTGAACTAATTATCAAGCCATTCTAGCTCAGATACTATTTTGTTATAACCGTTCCAGTGGCACATGAGAACAGAGTGTATTGGGATGAACCCTAGAGACAGTACACCCCTCACCTCCAGCAGTCCTTTTGGCTGGGGCTGCATGGCTACACAGTTCTTTCAAGAAACAAATTCAACATTCCCTAGAATTGCATTAGACAAGCAAGCCATCAGTATCAGCAAAGTGCCAAATTCCTCTTCATCTGTTCCCTCCCATAATTCAACTCCCAGAAATAACACTGAGTTACAAAGGTTCCCCAAGTTAGACATACAAAATTATCTGTTTTTTGAGCCTTTCCATGGATTTACCCTCTTGTAGAGGTGCCCGATGATGCCTTGGTTATCCTGATTCCTTCTAGCACAGAAGAGGACCTGGAACCCCCATTACACCCATGAAGACTCTGAGCAAGGAAGGTGGGACAGACATTAAAGTTCATGTTAAGAATAAAGGTGGCCTTTTTATGGCTTTCATTGTATTTGACTAAAAGACCCATACATTTCCAAATTCTTCCTCTCCAGCATCCTGAAAGAACTACTCCAACAATAAGCAATACTTGACCACATAAACAGAAGGCAAGAGTGCACCACAAACACTGCTTCCTCACAGGTGATCCAGAACAGCCACTGCCACGACTACTACTACCACAAGGATGGCTCATCACCACAGTAGCAGCCAGGATCACCCTGTAGTAAGCCTGCTGCACTCTCAACTGCATTGACACAAGGAGAGTCACCAAGGGAGCCTGCAAATAGACGAGGAAGTCTTTGTCCTCAAAGCCCACTCCAGAGTGACAGAAGAAACAACTGCTCTACCAGATGACCAGACATAAACATAGAGATACTAGAAAAACAAATAAACAAGAAAATATGACACCACCAAAGGAATACAGTAATTCTCAAGTATCACGCCCCATAGAGCAGGAAACCCTTGAAATGACTGGAAAGGAGTTCCGAGCAATAATCTTATGAAAACTCAAAGAGATTAGAGAACACAATGAAATGAGAAAAAAATAACCAGGGTATGAAGGAGGAATTTTACAAAGTGATTAATACCTTAAAAAAAGAATGCAGTAGAAGTCCTGGAACTGAAGGATTCATTCAATGAAATAAAAAAACACAACTGAGAGCTTAAGCAGCAGGTTAGAGTGAGTCGAAAAAAAGAATTTCAGATCATAAAGATGGTCTTTTTGAAACAACCCAGGTGGGAAAAAAAAGAATTTTTTAAAAATGAAGAAAATCTAAGAGAGCTAGCACACAACCTTAAGTGCACAAACATCCAAATCATGGGTATTCCCCAAAGGGAGGAGAAAGGAAAAAGCATTGGAAACTGATTCAATGAAATAATAACAGAAAACTTCCCCGGTATGGGGAGAGACATGGACCTTCACACCCAGGAAGCTCAAAGATCCCCAGACAGATTCAATCCAAAAAGATCCTCTCTGAGACATATTATAGTCAAACTGGCAAATATCAAAGACAACAAGAGAATTCTAAAAGCAGCAAGAGAAAAGCATCACATCACCTATAAAGGAGCCCCCATCAGACTAACAGCAGACTTCTCAACTGAAACTCTACAGGCCAAAAAAAAAATGAGATGATACATCCAAAATACTAAAAGAAAAAAATTGCCGGCCAAGAATACTATACCCAGCAAGGCTATCCTTCAGAAATGAGGGATAAATAGTGTATTTCCCAGACAAAAACTGCAGGAGTTCACAACCACATGACCAGCCCTACAAGAAATTCTCAAGGGAATCCTGCATCTGGAATCCAAAAAATGATAATCACTGTCATGAATACAAAAGAAAGAAAAAACCCACTGGTAAAACATAAATGCAAATGAGAAAGAGAAAGAAACTAAATCTTAAAAAACCAACAGACATTGAAGATGAATAATAAAAGGGGAAGAAAGGAACAAAAAATATTTTAAAAATCTAAACAAAAAGCAATAAAACGGCAGGAGTAAGACAATACCTGTCAATAAGAACCCTAAATGTAAACTGATTAAGCTCCCCATTCAAAAGACACAGACTGACTGATTGGATTAAAAAGCTAGGCCCAACTATATGCTGTCTTCAAGAGACTCACCTCACCCATAAAGACACACATAAACTAAAAGTGAAAGGATGGAAAAAAACATACCATACAAATGGAAACCCAAAACAAGTAGGAGTGGCTATTCTTATATTGGATAAAATAGATCTTAAAGCATAAAAAGACACAAAGAAGGCCACTGTATAAGAATAAAGGGATCTATCCAGCAAGAAGACATAACTATCATAAATACATATGAACTCAACACTGGAGCACCCAGATATATAAAGCAAACACTATTAGACCTAAAGAAAGAGAGAGACCCCAATATGATAATAGTGTAGGACCTGAACACTTCTCTCTCAACATTGGACAGATTGTCTAGGCAACAAATCAATAGAGAAACACGAGATTTGGACTATACTTTAGATCAATTAGACCTGGCAGATACCTACAGAACATTTCATCAACAACTACAGAACATACATTCTTCTCATCAGCACATGGAGCAGTCTCCAAAATAGACCACATGTTAGGTCACAAATCAAGTCTCAGCAAATTTTTTTTAAAAATCGAAATTATTTCAAGTATCTTTTCAGACCACAACATATTAAAACTGGAAATCAATAACAAGCAAAACTCTGGAAACTATGCAAATACGTGGAAATTCAGCAACAGGCTCATGAATGACCTATGGGTCCAAGAAGACATTAAACAGGAAATTTAAAAAATTATTGCAACTAATGAAAATAAAGACACTTCATACCACAACCTGTGGGATATCACAAAAGCAGTATTAAGAGAGAAGTTTATTGTGATAAATGCTTACATCAAAAGAATGGGAAGACTTCAAATAAACAACATAATGCTACACCTCAAAGAACTTGAAAACAACAACAATCTAAACCTAAAGGT